GAAGCACATCCAGAGGGGTCAAACCAAAACATCAGAAACCTACTTACGACCATTTAAACATACTTGCGTAATCCAGCATACAGGTAAAATGAAAATAAATGGAAAACATAATATAGTACCTTCTCAAGGACCAATTTGTACTCGATAAGTTCATTATAGGAACGCTGTAACTTGTCATTATTGGCATTGATTTCAACAAGTTCAGCTTCTAGCTCTCCAAGCTTTACCTGAACAGCCAGAAATAAAAAAATGTAAGAGTGAAAATGGAAAACATATGGTAATGGGGAAATTAAAATATGAGTCAATCAAATATATACCTCGACATCGTCAAGGTCAATATCAGAGTGTTGCTGGAGGGTCTCCTTGGGTAAAAGTCCAGCTTTGGACATTTGATCCTTGAAGAAACGAATCTTACGAGCCATCTCTCCACATCTTTTTATCTAAAATGATCACAAAAATTGTAAGATTTACAAATACTTAGATTGTATTTGTTTTGTATCTCACAATTAGTAGGAAGGAATTTACCTGAGCAGCATAAGTACGTTGAAAAGGGCTCTTCTCTGAATTTAGCTGAAAACAACAAAAGAAGGGGGTTTATAAGAAACGCTAAACAACCATTTGATCAATGATGATTTGTTTGTGGGTTGAGTAACATCTTTCTCTTTTAAGATCTGAAAACAAAACTCCAAAGTCAAAAATGAAAAAAAAACACATCCAGGCGCTTAGAATTTGAGTCCACAAAATAAATAACAGCTCGAAATAGATGCGTTGCGTGAGATTCCAAGGGGATTGCAAAATCAAACAAAGCCAATTAGGTATATATCTCTCGTCAAGGATTTTACGGACGTCTTTGAATTGGACGAGGCCGAGATCCCCGAGGTAAGAGACGGTTAGATGAGCAGATTCCATGGGGACAATGACTTGAACCAGCTGCATCGGCTCTGACCTCATCAGATCCATCGGCGGACAACATCCACCCCCTCCGCCGCTTTCCCCCATCGTCGATGATACTTCTCCGGCGGTTAATATATATATTTTAAAAATATAAAATAAATAAATAAGAAGAAGAAGATAATTGGGAGATGGGTGGATCGAGGCAAATACGGAGAGGGCTGTAATTATTTTGTTCTCTGCCTTCCCCCAATCGCGTTTCTAATCTTTTTCGCAATTGCCCCCTCTTCGTTTCCGATATTACAATTTGGTCCTTGCGTTAGTCCACAACTGAAAATCGAGCGGGCTTCTTGGTATGAGCTCACATTTATTTGGGCTTCATCAATCGACAATCGTCATATACTTTTTTAAATGGGCCCATTAATCCTTTATATATAAACCCCAATTTGTTCCCATGGATTCTTCACATATCAACCGAGATGATCTACACAATTTGGACGCCACGGGCAGGATTGAAACATGTTAGAAGATATGTTGTACTCCACCAGGCACCAACCCATTTGTTGAAGTTAACACGCAAGACAAACCATGCATGTATTAACTCCACTCATCAACCTTCATGCTCATATAAATCCACCGACTTACAACACAACTAGTAATGTGGCAATTTTGAGATACAACTTGGTTATACACCAATATATATATGTGTGTGTGTGTGTGAAACTGAAAGTTTTTTCTTTTTTAACTGAAAGGATATTATTTAACAGATGGTTCGAGTAAGCTTTTTCACAATGAAACTTCATTGTATTTGTTGAACAACATAAATTTACTGTATGACAATTTAAAAGGATAAAAGGTCTTAGCTCTAGTAGTGTGTAATACAGCGACAATCATATAGTTGAATGATTAGACTTTTGTTTCCTTGTTTGTTTAAATATAATAAAAAACAATTTTGTACTAACTCTCATCCATCAATGAGTGATTTGATTGTATCAGTTAATTGGTAAAGGTCCCATCTACTGCTATATTTTAAAGGGAATGTTTCAAAAGTGCAAGAAGAACCATTTTCAAAAATCCAGTAGTGTACATCCCTGTGATTTAAGATTTACATATTTAAAAAAAAAAAGAATCTTTAATTGTTTTCAAGAATTAGTAAAAAACCAATAAAATAAATATTCTGAAATTGTGAACTTTCCATTGGGAAGCATTTAAGCATCTTGCTGAACTATTGGACAAGTCTATGTGTCTTGTGGCAATATATGACCTATATGTTGACACTTGATTTTACACAGTTTATATGTTCAAACAGTATGTCAAAACAAATGTAGTAGAAAGCACTGCTTTTAATCTTTTCACTACTTTAGAAACTATAAAATCATCAATACAAACCTACATACTTAATTTTGAAAAGGCTGTGATAACAAACAAAAAAGCGTTTTTAAGATGTGAAAGATTCGATGGAGATCATACCATATCTTCTTCTCTAAAAGTGTTTTTTGTCGTCATCTACCTAATAGATGATCTATTATTCAAAAGAGCTAATCCACTTTTCTTATTTATATCAAAAGTATTACAAGAAAATTATTTAATCCCGAACAATACGGCCGACATGATCGCAAAGCCTGATATGAGTATGTTTGATTATTGATTTATATAATATAATGATAACTTTTATCGATCAAGGGATGCATTAGGACTTAGGAACAACTGTTATTAATCTCAACCATAATTTACTTCACTTTATAAACATAGACAATGTGCTAAGTATGACTAAGCGTATAACACCACAATACACTAAATAGGACTAACACAGAAATGTAACTGAACCATGTTTTTTAGTTGTGACATCTCATGAAACTGATCTAGAACTGAATTTGAGCAAGTTGAATAGTAGTATTTGTTTTGTAATTGCGAAACCACTAAGAGCACCCCCATCAACGATTGATGGGGGGAGTTCACACGCAAACCGAAAAAAATAATAATATTAAAATTAGATTTCTATGAACCCCTCTCTCAATAGTTCACTGCGGTGAACCCCGATGACCCCGAGTTCTCCACGTGTCAACATATGATTAGTCCAATATTAATTTTTTTTTTTTAAAAAAAAAGTAAACAAAAATAAAATAAAAAAATATTTTTTTATTTGTGTGAATCCGCAAGGAGGGTTCATCAATGTGGATGCTCTAAGCTAAAATCATTGTTTTGAGTTGGGTAAATTGAAGTTGATAAAACTCTGCTGCGTTAAAATAAAAGAACTGCAATAAAGAGGTAAAAAAAGGGAAGTAGATATATACACATGGATGATGGAAGACAAAAGCTGGCACGAAGAGCTGGCCATTTGTCAAGTCCCCCCCCCCCCACCTTCTCCATTTATTTTACTAGTATACTTTAATTTCTTCATTTTCTCCACAATTTCTTCTATCAATTCGCTTTTCTTTTGTCGTTAGTGCTTAGTACTTAGTAGATTAACTAGCATCTGACAGAAAGAGATGAATGAATGAATATATCGGACCAGAAAGATTTGAATTCAACTCTGCTTTTGCAATTTTTCTTCCAATCGATAAGACCTACAAGGTGCTCACATCGAGGTAACTTGACATGTTCACGTATCTAATTTGGAGAACGTACATGTGATGTGATGATAAAGAAATCTATCTTTCCTTTTGGAACTTTAGGCATTTGACATCCCATAAGAACAAAAAAAAACATGCATTTACAGCAAGAAAGTAAACCTAACTAGTAAACCAGACCAAACCGTGTGTGGAATCTAATGGGATTTGAGAAAATTCAAAGCTAAAGAGACAGAGAGAGTAGCTATCAAGAAAGTGAGAGGAAGAATAAGAAGAAAAAGACAAAAGGAAACTTAAAGCTGCTTATCTATAAAGCCAACACATTATTCTTACCCTTTTTGCCCACACTCATACCCCATCATCATCATCATCTTTACATATACATGCTACATGTACCCACATGAATGTCTTCATAAATACTATTGTATAGTACTGGTCCAAGGATCCAAGTTGTGAGAGAGATAGTGAGTGCGGAACCCAACCTTGTGAAATTTCTAGAAAAAGAAACAAGACCCTTTCCAGAGAGGAAGGGAAAAACACTGTTTCATTACCAAACAGAACAAAAAAAAAAAGATGAAGATTTGGTGTGATGTGTGTGATAAAGAAGAAGCCTCAGTGTTTTGTTGTGCAGATGAAGCAGCTCTTTGTAATGGTTGCGATCGTAATGTTCACTTCGCCAATAAGCTCGCCGGAAAACATCTCCGTTTCTCTCTTACTTCTCCTAAATTCAAAGATGCTCCTCTCTGCGATATTTGTGGGGTAAGTACAGATTACAAAACTCGTTTCTCGATGTGAAAACTTCCCTTGCAAGTTGCAAATATTGTGTGCTTATACCCATCTTAGTATTGATAAAATCTGGTTTTCATGCATAAACGATGTGTTGGTGAGTTTGGTCAAATGTTTTATTCTGATATTTTGCTCGTTTTATTGGTGAGAAAATTATAGATTTTCCTTTTTGTTTCCCCGAAAAGCTACTCAATGTTTACTAAATTCTTGATAAATTATTTGGTCGCTAATCAAAATTAAGTAATTAACCAATTGAAACTAGCTATTTTACAGATATATATTAAAATACTTTCTTCTTTGGGAAGGTAAAGCCGTGAAAAAAGAAGATATTTGAAAAAAGAAAAAACTTTTTGCCTTTCTTTAAATAAAAGAAGAAAAAAGCAAAATGTCCTTTCCGAAAAGTTCGTGGAAAGGGGGGTCAAATCTAGAAAATAAAATATAATATTACAAATATTAGAAAATTAACAAACAAGAGTCTTGTTTCTTTGGGTGGCTATCAAAAGTATTAAAGAAAGGGGTAGTCAAATCTTGTATCCGTAATAATACGACAGGAGCGGCGTGCATTATTGTTTTGCCAAGAAGACAGAGCAATACTATGCAGAGAGTGTGACATTCCAATACATCAAGCCAATGAGCATACTAAGAAACACAACAGGTTCCTCCTTACCGGCATCAAGCTCTCAGCCTCTCCATCCACATACCCTAGAACCTCCAATTCCGACTCTGCTGCGGCATTGGGCCGGGCCAAAACTCGACCCAAATCAGTATCGGGTGAGGTCCCCTGCTCGGCCTCTAGTGAGGTATTTGCGAGCTCTCCTTCGACGACTCCAAACAATTACTATTATGGGCTAGAGGAAACATTTCAGCAAGCTAGCGATTCGGGTTCTGGATCGGGTACAGGCAGTATATCAGAGTATTTGATGGAAACGCTACCGAGCTGGAGAGTGGAGGATTTGCTTCAAGATCCTTACTCTGACGGCAACAATAATATTTTTACTAATAGCAGTAACGATGGGGTTTACGATCGTTCTTCTTCTTCACAATATCAGCATCAAGGGTTTTGGGAACAAAAGCCCTTCTCTTGAACCTCTTTGTTTTGTTTTGTTGGTTGGAGTCTTGTCTTGTTGTTTTCTTTGGTTGTTGGGTGTAATTACGAATCCAAATGTTGTTTCTGTTACTCATTTGTTTTTTTTTTCAAACCTTTTTATATTTGTTTTTAATAAGAAAGAATTCGTTTCTCTTTCACATTAAGAAAAAAAAAAGATTAAACAATATAACAAGTGATTTGGTTTTGTTGAATAACCAAAGATGTATTTTCAAGGGCATGGTCAATCAAACCTATGATTAAAAAACGAGATTAATATGGCAAAATCCTTGACTCAGGTAACTAAGCCTTTGAATAAACCAGTGGATAAATATTTTCCAATGGCTGTCCTGTTTTGATGACACCAATGTTGATCCAGGAACCTCGTATACAGCGAAACATACAAATACCTTTTTGACAAATGGGAACGGGTGATATCCAAAAGAGCTCTCTCTTTTTTTTATCGACAATCCGTCCATTCCGAGTGACTTCCCGAGTATATCTATCTACCAAAACATGAATTTTCTATTTTGGAAGCGAAAAAAAGTGACTCCTCGGAGACCACAAGTCGACACCTTCCCATGGATATGTTGGTATATTTGGAAGGCAATAAACGACAAACTCTTTAATGAGAAAGACGTATCCCCAATGGACACTCTTCAACATGCATCTCTTGAAACAGAATGTTGGAGGAAGGCAAACGAGAAAGAAGAAGTAATTGAAGATTATGAGGTACCTCATAGTTCAGAGCCCCCTAGGATCTCCCAAACCCCTACATGCCAAATTGATGCATCATGGATCGATAATGGTAATGTCAGTGGCTTAGGGTGGAGTCTCAAGGATCAAATGGGTTCTGATTGGTTTGGATTACGAGCGTGTAGAAGGAGTTTATCAGCTCTGCATGCCGAGGTGGAAGGCCTATTGTGGGCAATCTCATGTATGAGAGATTCGAGGATGTTTTCGATACGGATTGAGACGGACTGTTCAGATCTAGTGGAAATGTCTACTAGACCGGAGGACTGGCCTGCTTTTGCGACAGAGATCGAGATGTTTCAGCGACTACGGGAAGACTTCGAGGATTTGAGTCTCTCTCATATTCCGCGGAGTAGAAATGGACGAGCGGATACACTAGCTAAAGAAGCAAGGAGCAGAGGCTATTCTTTTATATAGATCAGATCCGGCCAGATGGAGTTTCTTCTCGGAGAATCGACTCGACTAGTCACCACTTGATCTAGAGTAAATGGGCGGCTGACAAAAAAAAAATATATATATATATAAAGCATAGACATATTACATACAAAAAGACCCGAAACTAGCTTTAAAAAAGGGTCGTAAATGGGCCTATTATGGGCCATGAAAAACGACTACTGTCAAAGATCTATACTATTATTTGCGAAGTGATTTTTCGCAACGGAGCTCTCATGTTGAAAGTTAGAGTGGTTAATATCGATTATACCCTTAATGAATTTTATATAATTTTTTATATAATTAAAAACGAATTTATAATAATAATATTAGATTTATATGTTATATTAGATTATTCATTATAAACTAATATGATAATTTTCAAAGTAATACATATTACAAAATAAGATAATTCTTATACATATGGTGTTGTTATCTTGAAATAATATTTTTCTATTACAAACATTTAAAATTTGATTATGATAATTTTCAAACTAATACATATTACAAAAATAAGATAATTTTTACAGATATTGTGTTGTTATCAGAAAATAATATTATTTTCTTACAAAATTAAAAATATAAATATAAAACAATCTAAATTAAATATTACTTAATCAATAACATTTGTATAATGATATTTTCTAAAATATTTCTATTATGTGAGTTTTTAATTTAAATTTCAACCTAAAATATATGGGTACAATATATATTTCGATCAAATATATATAATTTGATTTAAACTTTTTGAGAACATAAAACTATTTATTTTTGAGAAAGCATAAATAATAATTTATCATGTTGATTGATATTGGTAAGAATATTATGCCCGCATGCCGGGCACAACACCTAGTTCCATTAGAAAGCAGATTTGACCGTTCTAGTGGATATTCTATAATAAGAAAAAGGTTAGATTTCAAAATATACTGCATATCTTAATATTTAATGCCAAAGTATATTAATATAAATTTATTTTCATTATTTTAGTAAAATATTAAATTAAAAACTAATAATTGAACATTGTTAATATAGTCATTCTTGATCATTATTGTATCATTTATAATATTATTTTTTAGTTCAAAAAAAAAATATTATTATTTTAGTTTATGTGTATACTCTTTCGATAATAACTCAAAATTTTTAATATACTGATTATGTTTATGTTTAATGTACAAAAATATGTGCTTTTTTGTTTAAAGTTACATAAATATTTTATGTAAACTTATTTTTGACTACAGTAACTAAATATACATTACAAATAACTGTAAATAATCTAACATTTTAAATACAGTTAAATTTTGCTTATTTTACTGAAATTAATTAAGTATTATTGTATATCATGCCTTAATATCATAAACTATTTAAATTATTTGTTGTTGTTTTAAATAGATGTAAATGACTATTTTAAATACACTTAAATGTAAGTGCTTATCTTTAATTTGCTTGCATTATAAAAGAACAGAAAAAAAATACTTTAATACATAATACTTAAAAGATTTAATGGAAAGAGTAGTAGCGATGAGCAACAACAGCAACAACGGCCAATCACCGTGGCACTCTCACTCACCCAAAACTCCAACGACCATGCTCGATCGCGCTCTCTCCTTCCGCCGTCCTCACTCCGACGCCGATCTCTCTTATTCCGGCGAATCCGGCGCCGACGAATCCAAGACCAAGCGTCCGCACATCTACCTCCTCGCCTCCAATTTCATTTCTCGGATCGGGCACCAGTGGTGGCCTTGCCTCGTAAACCAATGAATGGGGAGAGTGGTAGTAACAACGTCTTTCTTCGTCTTCTTCACCGGCTCATCATCTAAGATCTGTGTCTTCATCAGAAAGACCCTAATGCTTCTCCGCGTCAATATCTCAATCCAGCCACCGTACGGTACCAAGCTTCGCTCTTCTCCTTTTCATTATAATTCCTCGGATGAAGAAGATTACAGCGCCGAAGAAGAGATGGATAGTGGAATGGTTCCATTCCAGTGAGAGGGAATTTGATAAGTTTCTTGGGCTTCCAACTTAAAACCAATTGGCAATTAGTGGATTGACCCAAATCCCTTATATATTACTCATGTCCCATTCATATTTCCGATGTGGGATCTTTAATCCCAACACCCTCCCTCGAGATAATGGTGGGTCTAACCATTAATCTCGCAGAATCCATCGTACCCCTACCGAGACAATGATTTTTCTTTTAACAATCTCGATAGAACTGAGCCTTTTCTGGGCCATCAGCTAATGGGTTGATCGGGCCACTTTCCGGGCCGGATTAATGGGTCAGGGTGTGGGCCGGCTCTGATACCATGATAACTTCGGGTTTATTATGGGCTTCCAACTTAAAACCAATTGGCAATTAGTGGATTGACCCAAATCCCTTATATATTACTCATGTCCCATTCATATTTCCGATGTGGGATCTTTAATCCCAACAGAATTGAGGAGAAAACAGAGACGAAGATGATGAAGAAGGCAGCTCGGGGGCTTTGAAGGAACTGACTGGCTTCATACGCGCGCGCATAGCCTTGCTGGCAAATTGAAATGTCAACTGGTCGGGAGTTACTGATTTTGTTGTTTTCTACTTCCACTCTTGAGAAGAACGAACGAGCGAGCGAGCTCCTAAAAGTAATGTTGTTGTTTGATAGAGATACTATGAAACGAGAGTAGTTGAGCAGCCTTTTAGCTTGATTTGAAGATACGCAAAGACATCTCCAGAAGACGCTTTTTGGAGGAAGCCCCTGGTTCTGTTGTAGCTGTTTCCCAAATCGGGAGGACCCTGATATATATTGTATAGACCTAGTCCCACCAATATGAAAGCTGACGAGAAGAAGTTGAGAGAATATGTCCATTACAACAAGACAGAAGAACTTCACAAGTAGTAAATGGTCTGTCTCTCTCTAAGTGGTTTTTTAGTTACAGTCTTTTTTCTTACAGAGAAGAGAGTATCCAGAGAAAGCCGAGGAGGGAGGGAATAGAGATGCAACCGATTGACTTTATCAATTATTACTCGGTTCGTTTTGGATATCATCTCAACTCTATACTTCCTTGTTTAATATATATGCATTTTCGTTTTCTTACAGAATACACTCCACATTACTGATCCATCATATATATGATCTGTGAACATGACTGAGTTAAAAAAAAAAAAAAAAAAAA